TTAATTGATTTACCTTTTAATATTAATGAGTCTATGATTTGGTCTAGTTGACCTTCAAATTCAAATTAGGTGCTGATTAAATAATAAGACAGCTGAATTTCGATGTATTTAAACAGCATTCCTCCTTCCCCCAAGTAAGGTGCCTTGGCCTTGGCAGGTGATGAGGATGAGCTATGAAGACAGCAGAGAACAGAGAGCTCTCGCTGACCTAAAAAGATTGCCACCTAAATACCAATGATAAGCATCCTGTCTAACATTCCTATGAGTTTTACGTGTGTGTCTGTACAGCTTCTTGTCTGATTGCTGTTTCTAACATACAGCTTTAACTATGGTACATAGCTGTAGTCTCAGCACTCAAGAGGCTGAGGAAGGAGATTGCAGGTTAGAGAACAGCCTGAGAGACTTTGCAACTTACCAAGACCTTTTCTCAAAATTTAAAAAATAAAAATGGGTGAGGATTTAAACCAGTGAAGACACTGGGATTGATCCCCAGTACCACAAAAAGAAAACCAAAGCTTTAAAATCTTTACCACTTGTACTCCTGTGTTGGTTTTTAAGGTTTATAAGTACAAAACATGAGTAAATTAATAAAGTGTTTTTACCAGCAGAGGAAAAATCCTTCAATAGACAAGCAGATGCCCTAGCTAATGAGTAACTTCAGAAGGTCTGTCAACCCACAGACATTTTTTCAGGTCAGATCTACCTTGGAGCTAGTCCTGGCTGTCACCTCTTTGGCATCTGTCCTGTGTGGATGAGCTGTTCATGACCATCACTCTCTCCTCGTACCTCATTCTCCCAGCTTAATTCCTGCCTACATGACAGCTGTCATGACTCATCGGAAACAGGTATTTTCAGTGTCTACATGGAAATTTTCTCCTGATCCATAAGCCAGCCAGTTGTGTCTCCTGTTAACTCAGTCAGCAGCTACATAGTGTGAGTAGGCAACAAGCAAGTGCTTGGTTTCCCATGAGAAATATAACTGGAATGGCTGAACAAAAGCAGTGGTGCAGAAGACACCCGTGTTTTGATGATTCTCAGAATTTTTCAACTTTCACAGAATTATTTAGTTTATAAAATCTTACCTCTCCATAAAAGTGACAATAGCGTTCTCATGTTTTGGTTGCTTGTGTTTCCAATCCTTATGCTTTGGAAGCCTCTAGTTTCTAGTGGAAACCATTTACAATGAAGTTAAATCCAGCCAGTAGAGCAAGCTGAAAATAACTGAATAATCCTCAAATACAATGGGAATTACATCAGAAAGAGAAAACAGGGCTAGTTACAGAATATGGGTGATTCTCATGCCTAAGAAGATGCGAGGTCAGAGTCAGAGTCTTGAAACAATGAGAATGAGGGCTCCTTCTGGACCTTTGATCAGCAAAAATGTTCTGCCACTTAAGTTAAAGAATGTAATAACTATTTCTATAAGTGATCTTATAACTACAGAGCTCTAAAATTGTCCCAGTGTCACCAAGAAGAGATATTTCTACATAAAATCTAAAAATGGAGAATGTTGGAAATGAAACCTTAACACTCATAACTTCCTTTTAACCTCAACTTGACCTCAATCTGGGAGAAGCTCAATGAAAGATCCTTTTCTTTTCATTCTATGCCATGCATCTATCAGTCAAGATGACAGTTCCTTAAGCATTACACTCTTGGTAAAGCCTTAACTGATAATTTTTTTAAGAAAGTAGTCTTACTCATGATATTTCCAAAGGAAAAAAGGCAAAAATCCTATCTTACATGGTTTGTTCTTCATGGAAATTGGATCACATAGTAATGTGGATATCAAAACACTTTATTTTTTCCAAATGAATAGGTTAATGAATCTTAATAACTTATCTCAGTAAATCCTTAAAAATTCACCTTTAGTCTTATGAAGGAACTGCATTTGTGATACATAATAGAATTCTTTGATGGAGTTACCACTATTAAGTTTTAAGAAAAATCCTAAAAGTAGTTAAAAATTTGATCTTGGCATGAGCAATTAATGGTGTGAGATCCTAAGAACATCAGGAAAAATCACAAATACTATGCCTCTGCAAAGGTGTGATGTCTCCAAACTAAACAGCTTGACAGGAAACTCTCAGCTTGAAGCCCTCAAATTAGATGATCTGTCTCTGTCTCTCCCTCTCTCATTTCTTAAAACCTGCTATTTGATTTCATAACACTTTAATTTTTACATAAGCTAAATTAGTGGAATGTCCAAGTTTCATTTTTGTTCTCAAAACGAATACCACTTTTTGTCTTTTCTTTCTGACATGATCAGGTTTATTTATTTATCTAAAATGACCTAGAGTTCAGAACCTCTGTGGATATTTGACACAAATTATAGTTTTAGATCTAGCAAATGGCTTTTAAACTGGAGATGCTAGAAAACACATTGGAGTCATGTGAATGGAGGTATCAGGGGATTCATTTGAAACCTGGCAATGAACAAGAAAAATGCTCCAAATGACAGTGGTGTGGTGGGAGCCTCACTAAGCCACCCAACTCCTAACGGAATGAAGAATTCATCCCCTCAGGTGCAGGTGGACTCTCTCCATCTCTGGCTTTCAGGATTACACTCAAGGCCACCCTATTTTCCCTAGATGGGCAGCATCAAATGGCTTATCCATGAGAAGTATGACTGTTCTGGTTCTCTCCTGCCATGTGGGAGCAGCTCAGGAGGGTCAGTTTTGGACCTTTTGTACAGTCAGCTGTGATAATGTTCTGAGAATACACACAGCTTAACTTCTCCCTTGCTCTGTCTCCTCTGTTGTCATTTTTCTATTAGAGGAGATGATTTTCAGACTTTCCTAGTAAACTCTTTCATAGTCCTCACCTCAGCTTGTCCTGTGGGAAGTCTGGGCTCCACAGTGCCAGGTGAACAGTCTAGATGACTGACATGTATTATTGTACACTGTGAGGTCAACACTACGTCCGCATTCTATAGAGGAGAAGACTGAACACAGAGCTTCATCACTTGCATTGCTTGTTCCCTCCTTAAGCCACTTATCAAAAGTCACTTGCATTGCCAGTAGTCACCTAGGACTTAGACCTGAACTACATGGTTCCAGAATTCACATTTTTCTTTCTTTTTTTGTTCATTTTAGTGAGAAAAAAAGAAAAAATAGCAATAATACAGTTTAAAAACAGGTTATTAGGACAGTTATAATAATTAATACAATACATGTTGCTGTCTTTGTATTATTCAGAGGACAAGATGCAGACATGATGACTTGTCTAAACAATATTAGTAGAAATCTTTCTTCTCAATGAACTAAGAGAAAGTAGCTCTATATCTATCCTACCTATCTTGTATATACATACTTTTTTTTTTTTTTATAACAAAACAGTCCTTTATTTATATCCCCCTTTTTTTCATTTTGTTTTGTCAGAGATGCGTGTTCCATTGCAGTTAGAGAAGCTGTATTTGGAGAAATCTTTAAAGGACCTTTTCATACTTGATGCCAGATCAAAGATTGTAGGTACTTGAATTCAGCAAAATAACTTAATATAGTCCAATAGTCCATAATAGTAGTGAGTTATCAGCACAACTGGCAATTGTCTGAAGTTGACAATATTTTGGCCCTAGCCCGGTAAGATCAGGACATAAGAGAACCTCTGCTGTGACATCCTGTAATTAAGTGGTGTCCCAAATTTTCTGATCAAGGAGATTATGGGACCACAGAGGAAAGTGATCAATGATATATAGTGTGCCTAAGGAGAGTCATCTAGAGAGAAAATAAATCTCTCAGGCTTTCACAGAGAGCAAATTGGCCAAGCAATGGCCGTGACCATCCAGATGGCTGACACTGACAAAAGATCCACAAGGTGCTGTATATGGTTCCAGGGTAAATCCTGAGGATATTTGACCGAACTTGTCAGATAGCAAAAGTTACATTTTTAGTTATTCAGGTCTTGCTTTAGCTTGGTCTTAACCATCCAGCAGAAAAGTGTAACCACGAGATATAAAAAGTAAAGCTGTATTAACATGCTGAGCTGTAAAAGGCTCAAGTCAACAACTTTAGAACTCATATTCTTAGCAACTTCCTTACTACATATGTACTTGATTTAGGGAAAAATTAAAAATTACCAGGCAGCATGAAATGGAAATTATGATGTAAATATCTGAGCAATAAAATCGCAAGAACGTTTTGATTTTCTAAACTTTGGTTCAAAGAGTAGCAAGTGTCACTAGCAAACGCAAGTCTATCTGTGCATCAGACCAAGCTGACAACTGGATTCAATATATGTGTCTTAAGCTTGTCAGTAGATTGCAGAGTTTACCGGATGTCCATCTGTGCAAATGTAACAATCCAGTCTGTCACTCAGTTGTAGCTACCAGTGACAGATACAAAATAAGGATACTTTTTCTCTGTACAGACTTGCCAAATAATCAAGAGAGAGACAAAAGAAAAGACCATTTTTTTTTCATTGGATAATTTTTCAGAGCACTGGTATCCTGACTTCAGTGTTTCCCCTATTTGTTCTTAAAATTTTTCTATAAGAGTCATTTTAAAATTTTATTCTTCTTGGAATGCCTGGGTCAATAACATCTTCTCCTGGTAATTTTCCACTGAATAGAAAATGACAATCTTTCCAAAGAATTTTTTTCTAAAATGCCTTTCAAACTGATGTCTTTCATGAATGTTTTTCATAGATAGTGGTGGTTCTGATAGTTGGTCCTCAAATACTGCACTTTCAAATTTATTCCTGATGCTATATGTAGCAGGACTGACTAATTTTTAATGTCTTGAGTAAGCATCTTCTCTAACCACAATCCCTCTAATCATTCTTTTATTTCATAAACAGCTATTTTTTTCTGAGGAACAATTTGCGTATATTTTGGAGAAGCTAGATATGGAGTAAGAGAGAATGGGTGTGTTCTTCGTATTGGAAACAGAGAAACTTAAAAAGGTTTAGATTTTCTCACTGCTTCATTTTTCAATGCAAACAAAACTCAAATATTTTATATTTAAAAGTCTGATTTTCTGATGTTGTAAGTGGCCTCATACCTTCATCTTTACAAACCTCGACCGTCTCTTCTGTGGTGGGACTGGGCATGGTGGTGACACTGACACCATCTATAAAGCAGAAAAGGAAATGGGGTTAGTGCTCTCATATGGTGGCTTCCTGGAACCTCCCTCCCTGATTCTGCAAAGAAAGTAAGAGTGTCTTTCCTAGTGCACCGCACCCAGTGGTCTTTGAAAGCGCTGGAGGGGCATTGTCCTTTTTTGTGATCCATAAAACAAAAACTTTCAGTTCTGTAGAGCAATGGACTATGACTTATTTTGGACAAAGAAAGCTACTTTTTGGTAGAAGTACACCAGCCACCATGCTAGCATTTTACTTTTTTCCACAATTCTTGTAGAGTGGAATATTATTTTTCTTAGTAACAGATTGTGAGGGCAAACATATCCTTGGAAGTTTCTCAAAGTGCTGTTGCATCTATTTGTTTGAAAAACTGTCTTTCTCCTCTCACAGCACTTCCATGGGTTGCTGTGATGCTGGGCTCTGAGGCTGCAGGGAGGAGCTCTGTGGCCGTCAGTGCAGTGGCCTAGGAGAAGGGAAGCATCTAGAGGAAGACATCAAAGCCACTTGGGAATTCACGGTGCCAAGTTTACAATGGGCACCGAGGACGTGGAGGTGCCTGTCCTCCTCACAGCAGCAATTAGCCTCATCAGAGTTGATCTCTCTTCTGGTCCCTTCAGCACTACAGGGACTCTACTCATGTTTGGCTTCCAGGATGACAGGTAATTAGCTCCTGACATTAAAACAGTACATTTGAGACATGGAAATTTATTAAAATCATTTTGCAATGCTTAAATACCTGACAATTAAAGAAAAGAAAAAA